GAATGAATGAATGAATGAATGAATGAATGAATGAATGAATGAATGAATGAATGAATGAATGGGCGAACTGAATGCACGGAAAAGAGAAAGAAAGCAGGCAGGAAGTAAAGTGCGAAAGAAACGGGACGAAGGGGAGGCCCAACCAAAAAGAGTCAAAGAAAGTATCGCACTGAGGGATTGACGCGATTTTTCCGGGTAGCGTGGAAATAATGAAGTAACGAGGGGCGCTTGCCATTGAGTGGAGAGTGGTCTCATTGTGCCGCTCTCACTTTCGGCCTTGGTCTCTTTTTATTCTGTTTTGGCGCGGCCAGTGCCACGACTGCCAGGAGGACTGCCAGGAGGACTGCCAGGGCGGCGCGGCGCCGTCGCCGCCTCGCCACTAACGAGATGAATTATTTCTGGGATGATTTATACCGGTTCAGGGCGAAAAGCCAGCAGCAACAGCAGGCGGCGCGGCCACAGCGATGAGCGCCTCGAGATGCTCTTATTTACCTTGTTTTTGTGTTATTATTTCGTCGCGACCAGCGAAATGGAGGCAGCCTTTATTCAATGCTTTGGGTCGGGGCGGTGTTTTCCGTTTCGCCACCGTTTTCGGACGCTCCGTTCACTTCGGTTTCGACCACGGTTTCGGCCTTTGGCGTGTAGGTTCATTCGCCTGGCTACGCGTTGCTGGCGTTGCGGGCGTTGCCGGCGGCGCCCCATCTGGCCCCTGGCTGTGATGGCTTCCTCCGCGCAGGCAGGACGCGAGCAGGACGCGGGCCGTGTGAGCCTCGTCAGATGTAATGGCCGCCGGCAATGGCAAACTTTGGCGAGCTCATCCAGGCCTAGTGGGAGCCCTCGCGGCGAGGGCCGCGCCGCCACGCCACTCCGTGTGGAGTTCGGGGACGCCGCGCGTCGCCGCGTTGCCCCGTTCAGGGCACCACGGCGACACGGGAGGGGAACTTTGGCCGGAGGAACAGGAACTCCCGCGCGAACGGTAGTCGAACCTTTGTGTGTGTATGAGTCGCAGAAAGCGCGGTGCTCGCGGTAGAGGCCGACGGCGGCGAAGGCCGCGGCGTCGTGTCACTCTCTGGCCACGGAACTCACTTTGCGTCCGATCGGCCGCTAATAGGAACGCGGCGAGGTGACAAACGGCCGCGCGGCGCCCTCTGACCTCCACGCCTCGCCGCGACACGCGCGCCTACAAGCTCCTCCTTGAGATTTATCGCCATTTAATGGAGTGTGCTGCTGGACTCGCCGGACACGCGCGTCCCGTCCAGCCTGTCCGGCCAGTCCGCCGCCGCAGAGTCAATTTGTTTACCAAAGTAGCAGCGCGCGCTGGTGAATTCGGAAAGTCGCGCCGCGGCTTCGGTGCGTGCGCCGCGTCTTCCTGCTCGGCCAGTTTGGCGGGACGGCCTCCAACCCCTCGCCTCGACCGACGGCTAGGCCGGGTCGCCGGGCCAGCGCCGCCAGCGGGCCACGCACCCGGAAGAGTTTGGGCATGCCCTGTCACCCCGCGGCCCGCGCGATTGAAAGCTGTCACTCCAGGCCGCCTCACGCCTCTGCATACCATTAGGCTCGGTCGGAAAAGAGCCAGGACGTGGACGCGAACCCACGGAGACCGCTCCCGGAACGGCAGTAGTAAGAATCGGTTATTGTCACTCGCGCCATTTTGATCCCCCTTTAGGACACGTTGCGCCAAGCCGAATGTAGTGGTGGTTAGGAGGGAAAAGGCCCACTTCAGAAACTGGTCAACGAGTGTGTTAGAGCCCAACTGGTCACTGAGGGACATGTCGGAATGGGGGATCAAAATGGCGCACGTCCGAATGAGGGTTCCATACTACTGTACTTCAGACGAACACGATGAAGTGTTGGCCACCCTCTCGCGAATTCACTTCGAACTGGAGATTCTATCACCAATTTCGATCCGAATAACGAAGCGCCCCTGTCGTCGCTACCCCGCGCACTGAGTTGCCCACAGGCGGCGGCGACCCTCTTGCGCGTGGAGTAGCGATGGAACGCGACTCCCGATTTGTTTCTGAGAAATGCTCTGCTATTTTATCCGAGCATTTCTCTTTTCAAGAGTGGCGGGGTTTACGAAATAGTCGTCCAAGTGCAGAGAAATGCTGTCGTTGTTGCCTCCGGCAGCGATCGCTTCGAGCGCCAACACGTCACCCGTCCGTCACTTCCTCATGCAAACGAAGTAGTGACCGGTCCTGGACACCGGTCCTCCCCGTCGCACCGGTCACGGGGCGCGCGCCTCCCGCCGGCAACTCCATCGAGTGTTATGACTCTATTAAGGAGGCGGTGCGTGGTGGCCGCGCCAGCGCGAAGCCAGCGCGCCACAGGTTCCAAGGCAGCCGCCCAGGCCGGCAGGACGGGGTTTGTTTAAGCCTAATGTCCGCTTAAACCCCCGCGCCGTCGCGCTGGCTCGCGGCCCAGATCGGAATAACTTTGCATGTCATTGTGGACGGGAAGAAGAGCAGGCCGTGTCACCGCCGCGAGCACGCGACCACCGCCGCAACGATTCCTCTTTCAAAATCGATACGCTCGCACACGGGCAGATTGAAATGAAAGAAAAAGGTGAGTAGGGACCACGGCATTGTAAAATCGATAAAATTTAAACTGCAATCATGAAGGAAAACAAGTGATTATGCTGAACGGGAGATGTATCCATCCCTTAGAGAGTGTTGGATTTGTCCACGTGACTTCCAAAAGGAGAATATGACCAGCCAATGGCAATCAATATGGAGCGAAGTCTAAAATTTGGGCGGGTTCGGAAAGGACGGTCACCGCCTGATCGGGCCGGGGGCTCTGGCCGTGTCGACGGCCCTGTAGCGCCCGGTCCTCCAGCCTGCGGCAAGCCCTGCGGCAAGCCGGCAAGTCTCAGATCATTTGCCAGCTCATTAATTTGCAAAGTGGCCGACAAACACGGCGCGGGAGAAAGAGCCGGGGCGGGGGCGGGCAGAGCGGGGCAGGCGGGGCACGGCCCCCTCCAGCTGCGAGGCTGCAAAAGTGCGCGGCGCGAGCAGCACGACGGGGCGCGGGGCGGCGCGGGGTGGTGGGGGTGGCGGCGCAAAGAAGTGGCTGTGGAAGTTGAAATGCGGCGGAATGGCGGCCTTGCCCTTGGAATCAGCCCCGCCGCCTCGCGCCGCCACGCCCCGCCACGCCACGCCACGCGCCAGACGCAGCAGAGACTTTCACCGCCTGGATCGGCGGGCGGAAGAACTCGTGCACGCCGGAGCACTTCCGGAAGGGGAGCAGGAGTGTAGTTTGGCGCGGCGCCCTGGAGCAGGCTGAGCGAGAGGCCGGGCAGAGGCCGGGCAGCGGCCAGGCAGGGCGGTGAGCCGAATCGATAAAGTGGACGGAGAGCTCTAGTACGGGGCGTGGGTTGGCGTGGGTTGGCCGCGGCCGGCAGGGCAGGGAAGGGCTGCCCCGGGGCAGGCTGGGGTGCCCAGGCCGCCTGCCCAGGCTTTGGCCAGGCCGTACGGCCAGGCCGTGCCAGGACGCCGCTACCCCGCCTCCACCCTAGGACGCCAGGACGGCCAATCGATACCATTGGGGTGGACGCGCGTCCACGCTGGCTGGGGTGGCGTGTTGTTGTCACCCGAGGGGATTATACTTCATGACCAAGATGGCCGCCCGCCCTAAATGGACGCGCCAGGCGGCAGCGTACTACGGGAAATAAAAAGTAAGTTTTACCGGGGCACTCGTATCCAAAGAAACAAATCTTCTTCTTCTTCTTCTTCTTCTTCTTCTTCTTCTTCTTCTTCTTCTTCTTCTTCTTCTTCTTCTTCTTCTTCTTCTTCTGGGTGGGTGTGCGCAGCTGCTCCACTAGCACGCCTGCGAGGTGGACTCGCCCGCCGGACAGGCCTGCGTGGCGGGCCGGCCTATGCTGGACTCCGCGGGCGCCACGGTGGGGCCGGGCGCTTCATCCACTACACGTACCGGGCTTCCATCATCCTGCGGCCCAATTATTGTCTTTGTCCGGACGAAAGCTCTCCTCTCCCGCGCGGAAAGTGGAGGCTCTGCTTCATTCCAACCCTTGTACTCGCGATCGTGTAAGTCCTCTGAACATCGCCCTCCCCTCCCCTCCGCTCAGCCAATCCCGGCGTCGAGTTTGCCAAGACCAGGGCTTCAGCCCCAAGGCTTGAGGCCCGCGGCTCCGAGCCCTACCCCGGGAGGCAGGCCCGGCGGGGAGCACTGTCCATTACGCACTTACACGGACCAGGCCGGCGGCGGAGCTCGGCGAGGACGGCAAGACCGGCGCAACTACCGCGGAGCCCACCTGCAGTTGCGTGGCTGTGGCGGGGATTACCGCGGCCTGATGGCTTCGGCGCGGCTCGGCACGGCTCGGCGCCGCACTGATCCCTGACTACGCCTCACTCTAGCCGATCAATCAAAGCCATAAGTGGAAAATGATGGAACACTACATTACAAGGGCCTGGCCTGGGCCTGGCCTGGGCCGGGCCGCGAACAAACGCCAAGACGAGGGCCTCCTTGGCGTGGCGTGGCCTGGCAGTACGTCGCGGTGGTGTGCCTGGTGGTGTTTGGGCTGGTGGCGATTTCGACGTTCAAAACAAGTTACTTTCAGGCGGAATTTTCGTTTATTAAGGACATGAAAGCTGGAAAATAATTCGTTCGTGAATGTCTAGCAAGCAGTCACTGTACTTGCTTGCATGCATCAAGATGCATGTCGTTCGAAAACATGCAACCATCTCCGCTGGCGCAAAGGTTGGATTCTTCGTTGTATTTTTTCCAGTGCAATGGGGCCGAAGACGGACGGCGCGCGGCCGGGGTGTGCTGCTGGAAACGACGGCTCGGTTTGGTGCGCTGCGCGAGGGACGGAGGGACGGAGGGACGCCAGAGGGAGGGACCGAGGCGGGCCGCGGGCCGAACGACGACATTTGGACGACGACTCCCGGACGCGGCCATCACTCGGGCCTCCCCTACGAAGGCGAGGGGAGGGCTGGAGCGCGCTGAAGGGCATTATTGCGGCACTTGGCTCCGGTCCCAGTGACGGCCCTGGCCCGACGGCCGCCGACGGCCCCGAGGTGTCGCAGCCGGCCAAACCTGAAACACACACACCACACGCTGATTAAATCAAATCAAAAACGGTTCCGGGCGCGCGGCGCGCCTTTCCGGCGGCTCCGGACGCGCGTCGCCCGGCCTCTCCTCATTTGCATAGGCAGGTAGCGGCTCCGGCGAGGCCGGCAAGGCCCCGCGCACGCCGCGCAGGTAAGGCTGCCTGCCCCTGGCCTGCCCCTGGCCTGCCCGGCTTTCACAACCCCAACTAAAAGCATCCCCAGCGCACCCGGAACCCGGAACAGAACCCGGAACCGAGCCTCCGGGTCCTTTATCGCCGAGGACAACCCCTTCATCTTTGCCTCGGCAGGGGCGTCGCGTCGAGGAGGGGGAAAAGGGTTACGTTCTTTCTTTATTCCTTTGTTCTTCCTTTCAGCTCGTCTGCATATGGGATGCCGCGCCAGTGTGTGTGAGTGTGTGTATGTGTGTGCTGTGCGAGTCTGGTCGCAGTGCACAGGGAATCAATAGTGTTCGACGAACTAGGAGTTGTGCGCGCGGAGAGGGACGTGGGGAGAAGGGGAGCCTGGAGCGAGGACTGTACCAAAAACCCTGTGAGCGTGTGTGTGTGTCACTCTGTGTGCGTCTGTGTGTGTCCTTTTCTCCCTGCCCCGTCCGGAAGCTCCGGGCCGCTTCTTTTGCCACTACGTGTGGGGCCGTTGCCATGGCTCCGGGGCTACCTCCGGTGCGTACAGCGGCAGCAGCAACAACAACAACACCCCCGCCAACGACAACAACAACCACCGCCGCAATGCCTTGGCAGCTCTTTTGAGCCGCGCGCACATAACGGATCGAACCGTACAGCGCCCTGGGGATTTCCCTCTAAATAATTCCAAAGGACGGCAACCGGAGCTGAAAGGGCGGGCCTGGAGCAGGGCCTGGAGCAGGGCCGCGCCGCGCCAACGGAAAGGGCCTTCCTGTGTCGTCGCGTCGCACTTTTCCCTGGCTGCTGTTGTTGTTTCGTCCCTCGACGTGTGAAAACGGGAAAAAACTCTTTCGACGCGCTTTCAATGCGGACTGCTGAATTTTCCCTCAGCTCGCTAGCTGACGGCGACGTCGGCGTGGAATGGAGGGCGATGTCCGTCCAGGCCATCCAGGCCGTGACCGCTGCAACCCGCCTCCCCCATTAGTCCGTCGCGGGGAGGGGAGGCCGCGGGGTGGCCGACGTACCGTGACGGCGTGCTGACCAACGAATGGACGCTCCCCCACCACACGCGGAGGCGTGCACACACAAAATTTTATTCCTAATTCGCGCGGGCGGAATTATTGCACCATTACGGCTCCCAGCGACAACAAGCACAACAAGAAGTACACCGCGGCACCTTTGCGACTGCCTCCTTTGTACTATCCGAATCCCTCGAAGGCCCTCGCGTGATTTGCGGCCAAAACATGCAATTCTCCCCGCGGAGTCCCATGCGGCGCCGCCGCTTCCACTGGGACGGGCAAAGTAACGGCGCCGTGCAAAGAAAAAGAGACATTTAACTTTGAAAAAAAAAAAGAAACAAGGCAAGGAAACCAACAGCTGAGTGTGGACAGGCGAATCTGTTTCGATAGTCAAGTTTATCCTCCAGCTTGTAAAGTAGATCGGTCGCAGAAAAAAGGACGGCCCCGAATGGACAGGAAGAAAGGGAGAGGCAGTGGCGGGGGAGCGCCACCGAGCTGGCCACGAATCGCTGTCTTTAATTGAATCGCTGAAAAAAAGTGACTCGACTGGAAACTCTGCGGACGCGGTGTCGAGCAGAAAACGGCGTCTGCAGTAATTGACCCTCGTCCCGCTCTTCTTTTTGCAGTGACCTGGCGGAACTCGCCCCCTTATCAATGCCGTTCGCGGTTCGCTTGACCCCCTCTGGGAGTCACTCTCCAGCCCAAACCGCGGAGCCCAGTCCGCTCCAGTAGCTCCTAATTCGATGCAAAAAGCAAGAGGTGATGCTTCCATCACGAACGGACGGATAGACAGACAGACAGACAGACAGACAGACAGACAGACAGACAGACAGACAGACAGACAGGCGGACATCCCTCCATCACACAGAGCCGCGCGGCTGCAAGGCTCCAGGCGATTGAAAAAGATAAGCAAAGGGCCTGAGCAGAATCGAAAGAATGATGATCGGGGCCTGGTGCACCGCGTGTGTGTGCGTTTGTGTGCGTCTGTGTGCGTGCGTGGGCGTGCCTACTGCTGGCTAGGGAAGCGCAGGGAGGCACAGAGGGGGAGGGACGTCCTGTCTATACTGCACGAGCCTCGATCAGCAACACTTTCCTTTTCACCAAGATATAAATTTTGCAGCAGCCCACACGTTTTTCCTCCCTCCCCGCTCTGTTCTTTTCTGAACGGGTTTTGCTTGCACTGGTTATCTTTGGATGACTTTGCGAGACGCGATGAGGGTGGGGGCGACGGGGTCCGTATATTGCCCGCTTTGGATCATGGGCTGGAAGACCCAGTTGTACTGATGGACACGACGACACGTTTGGAGCTCTAAAGTCGCGAAGCGGGTCTAGTTGTCCAGGTTTCAGAAACTAAAATAGACCCAATGGGCAGCCGCCCCATAATGAGAGTGGATCGTGAGTTTCAACTCACTGCTCGAGAAATGTTTGGAACTGGTCCATGGCCGCTGTGTCCGCCTGAACTGTGTCCCGGACCTCTGCGGCGGTGCTGGCGACGACAGCGGAGCAGAGCACATCCATCGATCAGCGTAGTGGCGCGCGCTGGCACCATCGCCGCTACAATCAGGACCACTGCCGCTGCATTCCAATTTCGAGGATATTGTCTGCGGCCGGGCGGGACGAAGTGGGGCGGGGCGGCGTGGAGAGGACACAAGATGCTCAATAAGCACCGGGCCGAGCCGCGCGACGCCGCGCGACGCCGCGGGTGTCACACTGCGCCAAACTTCTTTATTTCGGCCTGTACATCACCCCCCACAGGAAGCAGACCCACGCGAGCGGCGCCGTCGCCAACCGGCACGCCCGAACTTATTCGCTTCGGCAAACGTCAATATTTTCATTTCGGGGACTCGGAGAAAATGGCCCGCCCGCGAGGAAGGGAGCGAGAAGGGATGCGCGTCAGCTTCGGGACATCTGGCGTCGCCCCACACGTCCCCCCGCGGGGCCCTCGTGTGTGTGTGTGCGAACCGCCAGCCCGTCCGCAAGGCCGGGCTAAGGCACATCACTTCCATAATTAACGGCGCACTAGCCCGGCCTTCAATCACGGCGGTTGTTCCGACGCGCCGAACGATCATAGCGGGGCAGCGTTGAAATGTATAAATAAAGGCAAGGGGTCGTCTCCACGCACTCGGCCAACAGCGACTGCATAATGCAGCAAGTCCATCGCGCTTCGGCCCCACGCGCCCTGGTGGCCCTGCCTCGGCCTGCCGCCACTGGGCCGAGGAGGGCGGAGCGGGGCGGACGTACTGTATCGTGTTTGCTGAGAAAATGTTTGCATTTCGCCCGGGCATACATTATAGGAATAAGGAAATGGTTATTTTATCCCGATGCAGCGTGAGGGGAGAGAGAGAGAGAAAGGGAGGGAGAGAGAGAGGGTGCGTAATCACAAACCGTGTGGGTGTGTGTGTGGGTGCGTGTGTGTGCGCGCGCGGACTAGGGTGCTCCGGACAGAGAGGGTATAAATTGGCGTAGGGGTGTGTCGGCCGCCAGGGCCGCCAGGGCCGCCGGCAAGTCATCCACACATGCGAGCCCCTCAGAGGAGGGGAGGAATCACACACACACACACACACACACACACACACACACACAGGGCGGGGAGGGTAGGGGTGGGAGGCCACATGTGACGGCCGTCTCACAAAATGGCCGCCCGCCCTCGCTGGGCGCAGCTCGCCACCCCCTCCACCTCCCTCACACACACACACACTCGGCCACATGTGCGCGCGACCCACGGAGCGCAGGGCCAGGCAGGGCCAGGCAGGGCTCACCCCCAGCGGCGACACGGACGGAGGGACGGAGGACGCAGGGCAGCGCGAAGGCAGGCCTGGCGGCGTTTCGCGGCGTTTCTAATGCCGAAACGGATCAAATGCCACGCGCGCGTCCGGCCCGCCCTGCCGTCACGACGGCGGCTGTTTCATTTCCAGGGAGCTGCTGGCGCCGGCAACGACGCGAACACATGGCCACACACACTCGCACACGCACACGTGGAGGGTGGAATGGAGGAGCAGTTGGAGCCGAAATTGCCGGCCGTGTTAGGTCCATCGCGGAGAGCCTAACATATTCCAAGTCGTAACATTTTATTCGGCGGACACGCCGTCTGCTCGGCGGGTCGGCGGGGAATGGCCGAACTAAATTCGCAAATTAAGTCTGGCCCCGCCACTCCGCCGACCTGGCCTTGCGGGCCTTGTAGGACTCTGGGGGGCAAGGACCAGGCCGGGCAGGACCATGCAGTGACATTAGCCTTACCTCCCGGTGCGGCGGGCCGGGCGGCCGGGCGGCCGGGCAGGCGTGGGCCGCTGGAGGGGGGCTGCCAGCCCTGCCAGCCCCGCCGGCCCGGCCGAGTGGAGGGGAGGAGCAACACACTGGAGGGGAGGGGATGGACCACTAGATGTTGTCTCCCGGGGGTGGCGGCCGCCGGTGGTGGGGCGAAGGGGTGGGGCGAAGGGGTGGGGGGAATCGATGCGCGCTGCCTCCCCTCCGCCGTGACGCTGCGATGCCGTGCCAGCGCGCCTTGCCAGCGTGCCGTGCCAGCGTGCCATGGGGGTGGCCGAGGACGCCGACGCCACGCCGTCAAGCCCTGTCCGGCCGGCCACACCATAACAAAGTGCGCCGCTAGTGCACGCGGGCCGTGACGTCACGCACGATAACGCGTGCTGATTGGGAGGGACATAAATTCCGAGGCCGGGGCCGCGGCGTCCGAAATCCGCGTATCGCGAAGGCGATTTGCGTTTACCATAATCGCAGCACGGCTCCCTCCATGTCCTCCGCAGCCCAGCCCGGCCCAGCCCGGCCCAGCGAAGCCTCCCCGCGTCTTGAGCCGGCAGGCTTATCAGCCGTCTCATATATCGCAGTTATGAGGCCGGCGCCTAAGTCCGCCGGGGACAGCCCCACCCTGCAACAGACAAAAGGGGTGAGGAATCTGCTCATTATTGCCAGTAAATCACCAAACTTTTAATCCGGATGCGCGCCGTGGGCGGAAGCTTTGATAAGCAGCGCGAGTTCCTTGCGGTGTACCAGAATACCGTGTCAACGAGAAAAGAAACTTGGCAGTGTGGCGGACTGGCGGACGGGCAGGCGGCGGTTCGATTTGAGTCTGGAAGGACAGGGCGACAGCGAGGAGACAGGATCCAGCCAGACACCGCCAACAACTTTATTGCATTTCTGGCTGAAATTGAACCTGAAGGCGGGCGGCGGCGGTACGAGTGGCAATAAGCTTGTCTGCTACTCCTGTCATTCGTCCCTCTTTTTTTCCCCTTCGTGGTTTGAGCCACTGTCATCGTCTGCCGCAGTCGGCCCGGGGCTGAGGGGCGTTCGCCCGTAGTAAGGGGGGCACCTTACTACTGACGCCGAGAGGGCCGCCTGTAGCAAGGAGGCCACCTTACTACTGACGCTGAGAGGGCTCAGGGGCTTTCACCCGTAACAAGGGGCCAACTACTACTTTCGCCGCCCGACAGACCGACTCGCAAACAAGACCGGCCGGTGGCCGAGTGGTAGGCACACAACACACCGCTCGGCCGCCGCAACGCGCGGAACAGGGAACACGCCCCAAGCATTCAAAAATGTATTTGGTGACAATGGGGGGCGCGAGAGCAACACATGTAAGCGAATTAGCGGCCCGAGCTGACCGCGAGCCGCGACGATCCACGCCACGCCGCGAGGGACGTTATTTATGGCCCCGTCTGACCAGTGGCTCGCCAGTGGTCAGCGCGACGTGGGGAACGCGCCGGGAGCGCGCCGCGAACGCGCCCACCACCCCTGAAGCGCGCCCGCCCAAGTCACCTGTCTTGCTTCGCGTCCCGTTTCAACAGATCGAATGTGCCGACGTCGTCGTCGTGTTCCTAACGACCTTCCGTTTTGAGGACGCTGCCCTGGCGAAGTTGTAACTGAAGGGCCCGAATAAAGGTAAACATTGCCATTAAAGGATTTGTTTTCACTATTTTGTCTGGATCGCCGCCATTTCGACTTTCACTTCGACACACGGTGGCCGGGAACGGCCGCCCCTGCACTCTTCACGAAAGCAAACGTCCGTTGCGGCACACGATTCAAAACCAGAGACATCTGCATGCAGGGACGCCGAAACTGCCGTGGCAAGAAATCGGACACGAAATAGACTAGGCTCGAGCACGAGCTTCCCAAAATGCAAATCCAACATTCGCTTCACTAACAACGACCGCGACTACTACTACTTCATCACCGACGGAGAAAGGGTATAATCAGAGCTGGCCCGGCGAGTGTAGCAAATTCGCACTGGAATTCGTCGCCGGCACACACACAGGCACACACACTAGCACGCGTATGGAAAACGCATCTGCTCCAATTGAAAAAGCAGGTCGGGTAAGTACAGTGCGTAAACCGATCTTTTTGCGCGACACATTACATTTACCTGCGTCATACCGGTCTGGCATGACCGGTGGCGGAAGTGGCTGCAGCGCTGCCAAAATGTGGGTCAGTTGCAACACACAGAAGGGTTGTCCCGGATCGAGGCCATGCAGCTTGTCGTCCTTCCGCTTCCTGGACGGGTCCGCTCCGCCGGAGTAGGGTGTCGTCCTGGGCATCCTGGGGGACGCGCCGCGCCGTCCAACCTGCCGACGGCGAGGGTTTGTTATTATGTATCTCCGCGATGATCGCTTGACCCCGGGCCGGCCAAGGCCGAGGGACGGCCGCGCTGACCCTTCGGACCCTTGGGACCCGCCCCGCCACGGCTCGCGAGCACGCCGTGGCCGCCGCGACCCTCGTCACGCCGAGCCCGCCTGCTCGCCATGTGCGCCAGACAGCGCGACGCACTGCCACGCAGCGCGTGCCGGCCGCATCCGTCACGCCAGTGTCGCGACGCGTCACGCGCACGCCCCGCGCTCATTTCTCGCTGCGTCTCCGATCGGGGACCGCGGCACCGCGGGGCACGCACCCGAAATATGCATAACGATTCGTTCAGCGCATGGCAGCAAAACTCGCCATTGAAGGCGGAGTAAGTTTCCGGAAACTCTGTTGCGCGGAAGAGGGACATTTTGCTAAGACTGATGAATTTCTTTCGTCTATGCTGACCATTGGCTTGAGTTGCTGAAATAAGGCGGTAGATTTGTGTTTTGGTAACTCAAATATTTGTCCATTCGCGTTATGCTCGTCGTGGCAAAGTATCCCATATTTATTTTTATACAGCCACACAAGTTTAGTGCGCTGCCTACGGCTGCCTACCTCGCGCAACGGGCGACGCGGGACGGACGTCCTCACTGCCGCCGTAGTAAATCCGCACTTTGTCTGCGCATCACCATAACGCTGGCGCTCGCTTGCGGTCGCCGTCCGCAAACAGAAGGGGTTGTCTCTCTTTTATCTCCGCTGCCTGGACGTCCGTCGGACACGCCCTCGGCGAGGCCGGACACGCAGCGGCCACCCCAGCGCCGTTTTGTCTGAATTTTGCAGCACGGCCGTAAAGTGGGCGCGCGTTAACTGCACCGTAAACTGTTTATTTACTCTCGGACAGCGGCGGCCGGAGTTTGCGGTGGAGAGCCAGGGGGCCCGCGCGAGGGGCGCACCGCGGCCGGCCGCATGCATGAAGAGCGGTTCTCTTTTCCAGCGGCAACAGGCAAAAGAAACACAGCGGGCGCCACTCGCCGCACTATTCGCACTACTCGGGCGCTATTCACAGCGCGCAGACAAGGGCCGTTTCACACGTCGGCGGGAGGGAGTGCGAGCGAGCGCGCCGCGTTCGCCGCGTTGTGCGCGCGTTTGTGAAGCCCCTGACTCACACAGGCCGGATTTTAATGACGATATTCCCCGACTGTCCTCGTTTTGCTTTGGCAGACGACACGTCAAGCAGACGAAAACGAGCTGCGGTAATTACGGAAGAACGTGAATGGACGCGCGCGGGCGTTTGTTGTTTCCGAGACAACTGTTGTTGTTGTTGTTTTTGTTGCAGCGTGAAAAGCCCCGCGAGTGTGACGAGTCTTTATGACCGCCCCGCCCCGCCTCCCCGTCTGATCTCTGCCCAGCGAGGCGGTAAGACAGCGAGGTGTGCGTTCATTCACTCAGGATGAGCTTTAAAAAGCAGTGGTTGGTAGTCGCCTCGTCTTTTCACTCCCTTTCTTTCTTTTTGCGACCGTCCTCTTCGTTCTTTCTCCCCGCTCCCCTTCTCCCTTCATCTCATTTGTATTTTTGCACGCCCGTGACATGTTTTGCGACAGCCCTGCTTTTTAGCGCCCGACCGTTCATCCTCTTTGCTTCCTTTTCTTTTCCCGTTTTCCGCATTCCGGGGGCTTCTCTGCTCCGCGGTTTCGGAGGCGCAAATTCGCGGGAGGACGCGTTGTTTGAAGTTCAATTTCCCTTTCTCTTCGCTCACACTCTCCATTCATTTTCCTCATATTCGTTCATTTATCGCTCATTCATTCATGCATCCCTTCATTGAAGCAGGGCCTTGCTTTTTCCACGCCGATCTAACCCGAAACCTCTGGCAGCTCCATCCGTCTCTCGGCCCCATAAAGAGTTGTTTTTTATTCATGGCTTTAGAAAGCTCGGCAAGCCTTGCAGGGATGCCTCGCCCGGTAAGGGATTGCCAAGAAAAGTGGGAGAGGGCCCGGCGAGGGCCCAGCGAGGGCCCGGCCCGGAGGAGGGATTAATTTTTCAGGTTCACGAAGGCGAGGACATTCTGCAGGATGTGTGACACGGGGGAAGAAACCGCGAGCAAGCGCTGCAGCATCAGGGCCTAGATGAGGGACCTGCGGGCACGCGCGCCGAGCGGGTTCGTGCCGCGAGTGTGAGGTACCAGCCTCAACATTGTCTTGCCGGAGAAATTCCCACAAAATCAACATGCCCCCAAGTTTGCCTTTCAGAATTTATCACGCGGTAAAACACAACCCAATTTAAAATTAAATTTCTAGCTCTCTTCTTGTATATCGGACCCGAAAAGAAACAGCGAACAGGGGACGCGAGCCAAATAAGCAGCAAGCAAGAAAAACGAAAACGGCCAATATTTTCCCCAACTTTCCGACCACTGTGCGGGGCCAGGCCAGGCGGGCGGCGCGGGCGGCGCGCGGTCCGAGGCAAGATGGCGGCCGGTCGGCGGCAGGGGTGCGCCAGGACGAAGGGGAGGACGCGGGCGTCGCAGTGGACCCGGCGCTGGTACGCTATGGGGACGCCGCCGGAGGGACACTGCGAAGGAAACGACTCTGGAAACAAACTCTTGGCCGGGTCGCGGCTTGGTACACCGCGGTACACTGCACCACTGTACACCCCGCGCGTCCCTCGCCCTATCGGCCTACACGCGCATTGTCCCGAAATTAACCGTCGGACACATTAAGGAAATTTATCTGGCCAGGCCGCGCCGGGCCGGCAGCGCTGCCTTTGTTTTAAGGGCGGCCCTTTTGTCTCTGGTCAGCCCTTTGTGTGCGGGCCAGCCCTTTGCCCCTTAGCCCTTTGTCTCCAGTCCCTAGTCGTGGCTGGCTGGTCAGCTCGTCCGGATGAGTCACGGTCATTTCGAGCGGACGCCATTGCAGCGGGGATTACTGTACCATTTTGGAAATCCGGGGCAGCAAAGCACCGCAACGAGCGGAGTGGGGTGGGGCGGCCGCTGCGCCTGCTTGCGACAAGTTTGCCCTGTTCGCACCGCAATGTTGGCAAGCAACCGCGCGCCGCGAAATCAGAGGACAAATTTGCGCACATTGCTGCTGCCTGGCGCGGCCTGGCGCGGCCGCACTCACATAATATTTCATGCGCCGGGGCAAACATATTAACGTAGCGCCGCGAACATCAGCGACAATGTGGGCCCCGTGGCGAGGACGGCGAGGACGGCGGCGACGAGAAAGGGGAAATAGGGCGGAAAAACGCTGTAAAGCGTCGCCGCGCGCCGCGCCAGCAATGTGCGAGACGCGTTGTGCAAAGAGCGGCGCAAGCGGCGCCGTGGAATAAAAGGAATGGCCAAAATGTTTGGCGTGGGTGGGCCTGGGCCTGCCTGAGAAGATACCCCACCTGGACTACAAACTCGGCCTCTGCCGCCAACCTTGCCTCGGCCAGACCTCGGCCAGGCCTTGGCCGCCCCACTCAGGGCGCCTGCCAAAGTCATCAGTCTTCCACACCCTCCTCTACAAAACGCCGCCACCGCCGCGGTCCGCGGGGGTGGCGAGGCGGCGTGGCGCGGGGTGGCGCTCCGATTGGTGCAGAACCTGATGGCCGACCCTCTTGCCCTCGGCCGCCTCCGCTCCTCCACCCCCTCATCCACTCTATTCAACCCCCGATTGCTTCGGCGTCAACATCATGGCGCTCCATCAGCGTGGCTCTGACCGACCATCGCCCTCGGCGGCAACATCCGCGCCCGCCTCGGCCCGCCGCTTTCAAAGACGATGAAGGCCTTCTCCTCCTCCCCCAGCAGCACGCGTGCGCGCGTTCCGATAGCGGCGGGGCCTTGTTCCGCCGCACGCGCGCACCTGGGCGTCCCCAGGGGCCTTATTTCAACACGACGGACCCCCGGGGCGGTCCTGCATAGGATGGCGGTCTTGTTGTGGTTGGTGCCCGATGGCGCCACCCGCGCCGTTTCCACACGACGCCTTTTGTTGCACGACCAAGTTTCCACACACTACTCCACTCACACGGGGGCTTGGTGACACAGATTGGCAGCGATCGGGGGCGGCAACATTGTGGCAGCCACGCACACAAACACTGTTGCTGTTGCCTCACTTTCCGACGGAAAGTTACATTTGCTGGCTGTTGGCGGCGCGGCTCGCCTCACTCGGGACGCTCGCCGTCGTCGGGAGGGTGTCGGCACGTCGCCGTCGACGGTCCCGACGGGGTTCGGCCAGGTCGCCGACGACGGCGGCGGGCCTGCTCGCGGTGCGGTGCGCGCAGCATCGTCCTGGACCACGGCTTGCCCGGGATGCTCTCGGTCACGACACACGGCGGGGACTGATTCTGCATAACGACTCACACCTCGCCCGCTCTTTTTTCATTCTTCATTGCCCTTCTGCTGTCCTCTGCTTCCGCCCCCCTCCCCCCACCGGCCTCGCTCTGTCTCACTCGCACGCATATGCGTAGGCATGTAAATTAATAGGGGAGACGACACGGCAGGAAAGGGTTGAATGAAATAAAAAGAATGGGAGGGGGGAGCAGCCGGCGGGGAGGGGAGCGCGCGGCCTTGGTGTGGCGCGGTGTTTACCGTATACACCTCTCGAGCCGAAGTGTATATTATCTCCGATAAACTGTTTCGTCATTCGGCGTCGGAAAGCCGCGGTGTATGGAAAGCCGCGCTACCGGAAAGCTCACGCGCGATGTGTGAAAAGCGTGCTGGAAAGCTCGCCGTGTGGAAATTGGCGGCGTGAATAGCAAACAGCCCCGCGCAGCGCGACACAAGGGCCGCGGAAATCATGGCCTGGAAGAACGGTAAAAAAGAATTACCCGCACGCCACCGTCGTGCGCGAGGAAGGTTCTAAAAAGACGCTTTTATGGACCCGCGTATCCTCCGCGGGTCGCCTGGCCGGGCGAGCTGGGGCTGAAGGGCAGGCGTCAATGTAGCCGAACGGGATGCGCGCCATTTCTCATACCATGCTGTCTGCCGTCGCTCTCGGCCTCGTAAACGGAAGGGGTGGACGGGTAGACGCAGAGATGCATGGGTAGAAGGTCGCATACTTTCAGTAGTATGAACACCCCATTGTGGCGGGCGCCACCTTGGGTCCCCCATTGTCTCAGTTGGTCTGCGGCTAACCCTTTCATGCCCTGGGTGGCATATCGGCAATGTAGTGACAAACTACGTCCGAGTACACTTCGCACGCGTACCGACTTCGCGTCTTGAGTACTTCCAACCGAAACTGAGCCTATCTGCGACGCTTTCTTCCAACAGCCTTCCAGATAGAGCCCTCCGTGCAACATCCGAGTCGACAGGGTGGCTCCGCCGTGTTGACTTGAATCTTTTATCGGCGAGTTAATAACGCAGGAAGTGATCATGGAGTCATGGAGAAGACCGCAAGGCGGGGGCGAAAGAAAAAAAACACAAATTACGTTTCGCCTCCGCCCGGGCGACGGCGGTGGCGGGATTAATTCCTGAGTAAGCGTATAACAGAGTGCGAAGGGGCATCAATTATACAGGCGTCTCGATTAAATTCAATTTCGCCACCGCAAAGTCAGTGTAAAAGTGGTTTTGAAGAGCAGCGACGAGAAGAGAGCGAGAGAAAGGGAGAGAGAAAAAAAGCATTCCAATTTTCTCGCCAGTTTTCTCTTGGCAGCTGACACGAATGTCATCATGACTTGAATGGCTCTTTATTGCGTCACGCAGACACCATTGACGGCGCGCTGGTTTCGACGCCAGCCACTAATCGATGCGGACAGCGTCCTGGACGTCACGTGACGTCACGTCACCAAAGACAAGGAGGCCACGGAGAGCGTGCCCACCGAAGCGTGGCCTCCAGCGAGCACACTCCGGACTCCTGGAAGGCCTGGAGTCAAAGCGCAGCAGGTCCGCGCACCTCCATGCGTGCTGCTCACCACCAAAAAATGTTTGTTAAGTTTTTAAAAAAAATAATGAATGATTTTTTAAAAAATTGTGTTGAAAAGTCAAAAGTGTGTGAGTGAACTGAGCCGAAATTTGATTTTCAGTCATCCTACCGTTTCGCCGCAAGCACTATTCCAAATTGTTTTTGTCGACCATTGCAGCGTTTCTGGCTGGAGGGGGATGGAGCCAAAAGTTGTTGTCGGTGCTGCAGGCTACTCGTCCCGCTCGTTCCGGTCGGCTCTAACGACTCCTCGACACATTGGGGGTCGGCCCGACGCCCCGTGCACAGAGCTCGCGGCCGCCAGGCCGTCAGGCCGTCACATGCAGATGCAATCAGGACTAACAACCAGCGCGACGCAGCGCGACGCAGCGCGACGCAGCGCTCCACGAGGCAGGGGTTCGGCCGGGCGTCGCCATAGCACGGCCTGGCCCGGCCTCCGCCAGGCCTCGCAGCGCCAAATTCGCTAATTTAGTTTTTGTCGTCTCTTGAATACATAAATAGGGTCGTCGCACCACCTGGGCCAGGCACGCCAGGCCGGCGGGGCTGGCGGGCGACGCGCCGCTGTCAGCCCAGAGGTGGTGTGTGTCACATCCCCCGGGCCACGCCACCACCGCGTCCCGGCCGCCGAGGCCGGGACCGCCTTTGTGTCCTGTGAACCCTTTTTCTCGACCCGGAACTCCGCGCCACGCCGGGCCGGGCCGCCGCCGCCGCCGAGGCCACGAGGTGCGAGAAGGCCCGCGGGATAGAAAAGAAAACGGTTTGGCGCGGCCGTGTGGGGGAGGCAGGCCTTGGCGGGGGCCGTGGCGGGGGAGGCCGAGACCGGATGTCACTCGGGGTAATAATGCCCCGCAGCCACGCGCACCCTCACACTCCCAAGGATCTCGAAATGGATTTTAAAGGACGAACCGACTCTTCAAGCAGCGATGATCCAACGTGACTCGAAGAAGTTGCCAGGTGTGGAAAATTCCATCGGCAGGTTTTCGACTCGTACGAACGAATCCTACCAGGCAAAGGTTCCGAGCATTCCTCCAGCCTGCTGCGCCGTGCTGCGCGGCTGCGGTCTGCTTAATGCGGCCGAACCGCGGAGGCCGTGTCGCCGTGGGGATTAGCCCTTCATTTGCATGGAGAGACAGCGGCGCAGCATCACCGCACCTGGCAAGGCCGGGCTCGACCTGGCCCCGCCGGCCCCGCCACTGACTCGCAGAGTCGATTTCGTCGCCCCGTCTCTCTCGCACCTATACGGAGTGCCGCAGTGCAAGAGAGACGGAGCAACGAAAGCGACTCTCGGAATCAGGTCTGCTGGCTCGACCTGGCAGGGCCTGCGGATCCCGGGAGCTCCGGGTCGACCGCGGCCTCCAGGACGAGCACCTCGTCGGCGGGGACGCCGAGGACGACCTGGCCCGGAAAGGGTTCGAGCTTCGTGCCGGGGCAGCGGCGGCCGCGGATCAGATCGGGCAGGTCGTATTGATGAGTGGTCCATCGTATGCAAAGCATGCACAGCGGAATGGAAATAGTAATCCTTGCCTCGCTCTGTGTGTGTGTGGTTGCTGCAGCTGTCTCAGCGTCGCTGCCGTAGAAATCGGATGCCAAATGAGGATGGGATTGAAATGATGACGCGCCAAAGGTCGAATGATTTCCGCATGATTGTGGTACGAACGACAACGACGGCCATATCTCCTGCCGCGTTCCATCGAGTCTGTGTGCTCGTCCGCTCGTCTGTCTGTCTGTCTGTCTGTCTGTCTGTCTGTCTGTCAGTGGACCCTCACCTCCGCCTTCGCCACTGGCGCAACTCTCGTTCTGTGTGCTCCGCATCGGCCTCGCAACGCGCACGCACATTTCTGTATACATTCACAATTCACAGTGGTGCGTCTCGGTGGCGCGGCCCGCGGCCTCCACGCCGTAGTGCTCTAATGACGTGTCGCGGCCAGCCGTGCCGTGCCGTGCCGTGCGCGACCCGATACATCCAGCCACCACGTCGTAATAATATGCAAAACTAACAAAACGCACACACGCGAAATAGGTCACGCAGGAATGCTGATGCCAGCTGCTGATGGCTTTTGCTATTTCACTCGCTGGGCGTGGCGGGGGGTGGCGGGGCGTGGCGGGGCGTGGCAGGCGGGGCGCAGCGTTCGCCCCCTCGTCGGTGTCCCCTGCCTCCCACAGGTAATTCCCACAAGCTATACGGAGCGGTGATAGAAATCCACTCCACACCCGCACCGCGCCGTGCCCGCCGTGCCCGCCGTGCCCGCCGAGCGCGCGGACCCCTCGAGACCGACGCGGTACTCCCGCGGCCCCACCCCGCCCCGCCCCGCCCCACCGCGCCCGCCGCGGACGTGCCGCTACATCCATCACCTATCAGGAGCACGCCGTCGGCGCCGTCTCGAGCTTTACTTCCAGCGCCAGCCTCCCTCACGCGTGCTCGCCGCGTCACGGCCCAGCGCACCGAAACGCAATCGGCGGAAAGGGCGCGCAGTGCAGCGGCAGCGTGGCCGCGCAGGCCAATGGCGCAGGCCGCGCAGGCACGGCCAAAGGCACGGCCAAAGGCCCAGCCCGGCGCACACCAAGAAGGCCCTAACGAAGTTCGCCATTCGATAGAATCCTGGCGCGGCGGGGGGGCGGGGCGGGGGGGGGGGGGACGCGAATGGGGAAAGGCTTGGAGGGCTAAGGCTGGAGGGTTGAAATCCTCTGCCCATCCGGGGAGGAAGGGAGCAAGGGCCGGGCAGAGCGGGGCAGAGCCTTGCAGGCCCGGAGAGCCCGCGGGGCCTGCGCGCGCTGGGGTCCCCGCCAACCAGCCAATCTCCGGACCACGGCTTTGCATATAGGCTGATAAGCATAAACACACACACTCGCTAGATCTCACCTACACACACACGCACGCACACAGAGGCGCGGCGCTTTCCAGGGCCCAACAGGGTCGCGCGCTCCCTCTCTCTCGCTTCGTTCGTGGGCTCTTTGTCTCGGCTTTGCCGCCGCCATACCTCCGCGTGTGCGGGCACAGCGCGGGCACACAGCCCTCTCATCAGTCAAGCGCCCCGCCCCGCCCCGCCCCACCCCACCCCGCCCCGCCACGGCAGCGTTCAACGCTCAGACGAGCTTATTTCCCGAGATGTGGGGAGAGACACAGAGAAAGCGGCGTCGTGGCCGCCGCCTGTGGGGGTCCCGCGGGCTTCACCCGCTGACCACGTTTCTAACTCACGTCCTGGTTCTCCTGCTCGCTTTTCTTTG